GCCATGATCATCTCGCTCCTGAGCTCACTTACCACTTTTGTTTCAACTTCTCTTCCAGCGTCAGACACAAACCCCCTTTCAGAGCGAGAGGATATCGATTTTAGAGTAGTCGTAGACCAAATCGGCAATATAAAGAAAATGGTTTTGCAGACTTTTCCCTTCCGAAACATCGCGCGAAAATGCGAGACAGCGAGGAAGCTTTGTAAATATTCATAAATATTCGGGAAAGTTAAGCAAAATAACTGCGGTGCTATTCAATTCATAAAGAAGGTTGAAAATTGTTATGGCATTTGGACCAAACAGCCATTTTTTGGAGTCACTGAGTTGTATAACAATAATTCAATTGTTTTGCAAACAACTGCTTTCTGCTGGTGCGATTTATTCATCTTAGAAACATGTACCATAACATCGAAGATGTTTTACTGTTGCTATGGCAGTGTTTGATCAAAGCGAGAGGTCTGATTGGTTCCGTCCAAACCTGATGAGGATCTTTACGCGCGTATGTCAAAACATTGATCAGAGAAAAGGAAGGCTTCAAGCTGGTGATTGCTTTGTACAAAGGCCGTGTTGAGTTCAGGTGAAAGGATCGAGCGCTCACCACAAGGTTTGTCTCATGTTTCTTCCTTTTGCTGCACTACGCTCACTTTCCACTTGAGTTTCTTCCTTTCTAAAGCGCCAATCAGACACAAACCCCCTTTCAGAGCGAGAGAATATCGATTTTAGAGGTGCCGTAGACCAAATCGGCAATATAAAGAAAATGATGGTGCAGGCTTTTTACTTCCGAATGATAAAGTTATATCTTTTTGTTTCCGTTCGTAATGTAAGACGGTAGTCTTACATTACAAATATTGATCTCATTATATCAATATTTGATCTTCGTAGAATGATGGCTTCGATATAGAAGTACTTCATGAAAGACTGCCACTAATTCGCCTAAACACCGAAACACATCATGTTCTACTGATTTATCTGTGATATGCAACCGAGAAGCTCATATTAGTTATGATTTTGTTTTATTGTGCTTTAAGAGCGAGACAGTTACCCATCAAATTCGACGAATCCGATCGAACTAATGTTATTCAACAAATTGAGCACAATTTTCCGTTGTCTCTAACCTTACTTATCATAGAAATGATGTCTACAATGTTTAAAACGAAAGTGAAACCACGAGGCGCAACCGAGTGGTTTCACTCTAGAGTTGTTTTCAGAGTTTTTTTCCCCTCTTGTGCCACTTGTGTTTCTAATTCTCTTTCAGAGCGAGAGGATATCGATTTTAGAGGTTTCGTAAACCAAATCGGCAATGTAAAGAAAATGATATCGCAGGCTTTTTCCTTCCGAACTATCACTCGAAAATGCGAGACATTGAGGAAGCTTTGTAAATATTCGGGAAAATATTTGTAAATATTCAGTTAAAAAGCCATAAATTCTCAGCGCTTTCCTTTCCGAAAATCAGCCTTTTCGTCCCTTTTTTAAAAATTATCTTATTCATTTAAATCGACAAAAACATGGCTTCGTAACTGAAGCAGGTCTCATTCGTTTTCGGGCGTTTTAGTATGGAGAAGCGAAGACGCTGGAAAAATGCTGGTGTAGGCAAAGAATATTTTGCTTCGTTCGCCAATATGCAAACGAAGAGGCTTTTGAAAACGTATTTGTGTGGTTAGGAGCTAAAGTTATCAAAGTATGACGTAATGGTAAATTATTTCGAGAGTAATTTAAGCATGTGAAAAATAACTATTAGATCAGACGTTTGTGTCATTTTTGAACCTGTTTATATTTCGTAATGGAAACTTTATTGATTAAAAGCGCAAGTTTCGTTGAAAGGGCATTTTGTCCGTAAAAAATTGACAGTTGCGATGCACATGTAAATGAGTGAAAGGCCTTCAATCAATTTAATGTCAATCCCCATGGCTATCTATTTATATCCTGCCTCCGCTATGGACCAAACAGCCATTTTTTGAAGTCATTGAGTTGTAGAACAATAATTCAACTGTTTTCGCGAACAAAGGTGTGTTATATTCAGCGCTACTTTACTCCCTCAATTCTTTTAAAATTTCAGCTTTGAAATATTTCTTGCCTTCTGTTTATCAAAGAGCTGCTTCCTTTGGAAGGCCAACAATTTTTTTAGTCGAGAGGTTTGGGAGATGATTTTGTAAGCTTGATCTTCGTAGACTGATGGCTTCGATATACAAAAACACCGAAACACATCATGTTCTACAGATTTATCGATATATAATAATATGTTCAAGAAATTTCCAATTGAGAATCCTGGGAAAATATTTCCCACTACTTATAAAGTGACTTCTTGGATCGATCTACACGAGGTCTTATTTCCGGGCTAAATGCCTTTGATGAGGCAGCCGGCATAAGCCAATAATAAAGTAAATAGTTTCGTAAACAACAAGTGCACGAGTGACTGTTCTCTCAGCTACCTTTCGAAAGGGAAAGCGGTTGTTTTTTTAATATTTTTGACACTGATAGTCTATACGAAGTGGTTTTCATTTCAATTTGTTGAAGCATACTCTCATAGGAATAATTGACAGATACCAGTTCTAATTCCTTCAGTGACATTTTCACTTAATACTCAGAAAAAGCAGAGCCTTTCATCGAGAAAACTTTGTATTTTCTAACAAAACTGGAGATCCATAGCCGTGAGATAGGCGTTCAAGAAACTGCCAAACAGTGTTTGAAAGTCTGCGCAAAAATTGTTTTCAACACTGATAAAGTAATTTCATGTATAAACGCGAATCGGGGTACTGATTCCTTTGAAAAAGCAGCTGGCGCATGCCAATAAAAACAAATAGTTCTGTAAACAACATGCGTGCGAGGAACATTTTCCCGAAAGATAGGATAGCATTGAAAGCATGATCAAAACAAACTCACCACTGTTTACAGGTAAAGCTTGCTTCTACGAATTATGATATACCTGAACCGATCAAATAATTCATTTGTGAAATATTCGTCGCCCAGAAAAATGCTCCCAAGTTCTGAGAAAGACTGAATATAGATTATCCGGCGATCTGCGTTCGAGGAGTTGTCCGAGAATTTCGCGACACTTTTTTAATTCGATTGACCGAGCCTCGAAGGGCAAGGAAAAATACTGCGTAACTCACAAAATGTCCGGCGTATTATAAGTAAAACCATCGAATAATTGACTTATCATTCCACTATTATTTCATTTTCTAGTCTTTTGGCTGGTTTTCGAACCTCTGTGTGGTCTTATCTCAGCATTACATCGATCGCATTGGGTAGGCAAGAAAGAGAAAAACAACACAAATGAAATCATTTTAGTGTTCCAAAAAAAATGTTGTGAGCTTCAAATTCGTTCCTGAAAAGATCATATCTAAAAAACGGAAAAGAAATCAAAGATCGCGCAGTGCCAATTTCTATTGCTGTTGTTACTTATAACCTGAAACGCGCAACATAGACCGTGTATTTCAAACGTCTGAGTTAACGGATATTAGTCAAATGTAAATCGATCGCAGTAGAGCTGATCGATTGATATTGGTAATCGATGTCAATCGTTGTTGATGACAATTGATAATCACAAAAACTTGTGTGATCAATTGCTCATCGATTACCGATATTAAACGATCATTTGCCATCGATTATCATCGGTTATCATCGGTTCTCATGGATCATCGATTTCATCAATTCTCAAGGCCCTGGAGTTAAGAAATATGAATGAATTTAAGACTCAAGAAAGACCTTGTTGTCCATAATTTTTTTAAAGACTTCACGCAAGAAAGATAGACTCTGGTTTCGAGTGATTCCAAGTGAGTCGAAGTGAAGCTGAAGTCGTGACTAAAGCTCTTCTCCCTCTCAAGAAACTAGTCATGCTTACACAGAAAAAAGGGGGGGGGGGTTACGGTGACACCAAGGGCAGTGTAATTATAGACCATATTGGTGTTGACACGACACCAACCAGGTGTAATTAGAACATTACACCAAGTTAGTGTTAAGTAACACCAACTAAAGTACTGTATAACACCTTGCTGGCGTTTTTTTCCACTTTCGCTCCCTGCAAGAGTTCAACACCACCGGTTTGTAAAGACACACTGAGTGGTGTGTGTACAATTCAGTGTTAAATAACACCAAACAAGTGTGAAATGTCTTAAACGCTGGGTTTTCTTTTTCAAACAGATCTGAAGTAGAATAACGGCGTATAGGCTGAGCAATCACAAAAATATTATTGACATCTCTTTCATATCCTTTTATAGTGAAAGTATGTCAGTTATGTGAATCTGTCCTTTTATTGTTGTATTTTGTGTGTTATGTGCAGTATCCAAAAGAATGTGTAAATGTGAATCTCTTCTTGCAGAGATACATTTTAAAAGTTTATGATAGCGCAAGACTGCCAACAAAATTATTGCAATTTTTGAACGAACTAAACTGCTAAGGCTTTATTTTTTATGTTTCGTTGGTGAGTTTGAGATTGAAAATAATAAAGGTGAGAACAAGAGAAACCCATCGCATTCAAATGTCTTCGTAGCTTTGGAGTTAATTTCACTATTAAGAGTGTTACTACAACGCATAGGGTGTTGTTTTATAACACTTGCAGAAGTGCTGATTTACACCAATGAGCGTAAAATTCATAACAGTGTAAAATCACCTCGTCTCGGTGTTGGCACAGCTGCAACGCATTTTACACCAATTCAGTGTCAAGAGACACTCTGTTAGTGTTAAAGTACACTAAAACAGTGATAGGTCAGCACCATTGTGGTGTATAGTTACACTTCAGTTACATGACATAAAAACGAATTTACACCACGTTGGTGTAAAAGAACACTGTTTCAGCATTGATGAAACACCAAAATGGTGCTCACACAGCTGCAAAAATTTACACTTTTTTGGTGTCACCATAACACCTTGACTTTTTGTGTGTAAAACCAAATCTTGATCATGATCACGTAGGTATCCCGCCGAATACTCATCACAGAACTGTGTTTGTTCTTTGCTATAGTACCGAGACAAAATATTCCTCTTGAAAATTTCTACACGACACTCAGCGGCAAACCTCATTAGGAATGGCTTCTTTCAGGTGAGTTTCTGAATGCACTGTGAAACAACCTTTGGTAATGATTTCCTGCTTGTTAACAAAATTGCAGCATTGTTATGACTCAGAAGCAGGCTGGCCGCTTGCAGTATTATCTTCCAGAATGCTTTGCCGAGAGTTATGTGAAGGTGTTCTTTTTTGTTCTGTTTTTCTTCGCCTAAGACCGTTTTCACCAGCACCAGAAATTGCATGTATACATCAGGAGAAAGAGCACCAATGAATACACTGATGCCCGGAGTTCTTGATCCGAAGGAAGTTTTTCCAGATAGCATATGTACTAACATGAAAAATAAGGCTGAAATTGTCTTCTCAACAGCGACTGTTGCTCCTTTTCCTTTACGGCAAGAGGGACCCAGATGCTATGGATTCTTATTGGACTCATTTACATCATATGCATAACATCAACTGATGCGATTTATTTTAATGACCAGACCTTCGCAAACATGGACATGGTAATTGAAAATATACGCTGTGTTAGTATTAGGGAGGGGAACTTCCTAGCGGCAAGGAGAGGAATACTCCCAGATAATAAAGACTTTGCCCCCTGGAAGTAGCCGATCTGACGTGACTTTTTCTGCATTAAAGAAAACTGTTGAATTATCGTTGCCAGGACATTAACTATTTCTTCCTGGGTCAAAACAATTAATTGGAGCATTCTCACCATATGCACATGGGAGCCCCCCTCCCCCCCCCTTTCCTCTTCTTAATATATACGTTAAGTTATCAACACTCGTGAAACGGAACTGCCCATTTCAGAGAACTAAAGAATAGGTCTTCTATGCGGCCCTTCTTTTGGATGTAATGCGACACTCCCCCCTGAAGAGCGACTGCAAGAGAGACTACCGGTAGATTGAGTGTTGTCGAACCAAAATCAAAGTTATCCAAACGGGCAGTTAGATCAACGACAAAAATAATCAAATTCAGTCCTTTTTAAGGTGGACACCTGTAAGTAGCCTGTTGCAAAAATGTCTGTCTGACTTCACGCTTTTGGCCATGTGTGTCATTTTGCGGGCTAAGCACACGTAACGGGTAAAATTTCAAATAGTAATTTCTCTACACACCCACAAGGAGGAGAGTTATATAAAATGTCCATGTATTCAATATTTTCTTATTTTTTGTCCACCACTTTGTGCTTCAAAGGGTCTTCTGCTCGCCTATACCAGAAAACAGAAAGTAACCCCCCCCCCCGACTTTCATCTATTTTACGTCAGTAACATCTAAGTTGCATGTCGTTTTTAGTGAGCGACTGTGAAATATTTAAAAATCTCGACCTCCTGTTTTGTAGGAAGAAAAAGCAAGAGTGGTAGACGATATCCTAGAAAAAATAAATATCCCCCCTGACGATGAGAATTTGCAGTATAGGAAAGATTGGGAAGAGTTTGAAGAGAAGATGGGAAAGACGAAATCCAATGCGAAAAAAACGGTGAGATCTTTCCGGAAAATAGCCGATAGATTTGATGAAACGTGGTGGGAGTACAAGACGAGGTACGCTGCTGCAAGCTTATCGTGTGTAATAGGCGGAGTTATAACACTTAGTACTGGAAATGTAGCAGCCATGGGTTTTGGAATTACAGGAGCCGTAGTAAGCATAAGGGCCAATAGCGTAAAAAATGCCAAAGATTTTGAGAATAAAAAGATGGCCGAAAAGCTCTTGAAGGAGACCAAAGACAACTTCATCGCCGCGATGGAAACGATCAATGAATGGTCAGTCGAAAAAGACTTCGTACGGATGATATACCTTTACAGCTTCGCTAAATCCTCTAAGGTGGTTAGCCCTCAGGTTTTGGAGATTATTCGTGAGATTATTCTCGACTCCATGGGGATCTCCATGGGAAAAAAACCAATAAATTTTCCCGAAATGGTAGGGTGGATTTTTGGTCAGAAAGCAGCAGTTCAAGATGGCGCTGAAGGAGCAGCAAAGGTAGAAGCACAAGCCGGCGCAAAAACCTCAACACACGAAGCGGGAAAGAATGCAGCAGAAGTTGTTGATGATGGAGTCCAAGCCGGCGCAAAAACCTCAACACACGAAGCGGGAAAGAATGCAGCACAAGTCGCTGATGATGCAGTCCAAGCCGGCGCAAAAACCTCAACACACGAAGCGGGAAAGAATGCAGCACAAGTTGCTGATGATGCAGTCCAAGCCGGCGCAAAGACCTCAACACAGGAAGCGGGAAAGAATGCAGCACAAGTCGCTGATGATGCAGTCCAAGCCGGCACAAAAACCTCAACACAGGAAGCGGGAAAGAATGCAGCACAAGTTGCTGATGATGCAGTCCAAGCCGGCGCAAAAACCTCAACACACGGAGCGGGAAAGAATGCAGCACAAGTCGCTGATGATGCAGTCCAAGCCGGCACAAAAACCTCAACACAGGAAGCGGGAAAGAATGCAGCACAAGTTGCTGATGACGTGGCGGAAGCAGGTTGGAAAACAGCTGGAATTTCCCAGAACTTTTTTATTGTTCTTAACACTGGCTTTTTAGTGCTGGATACCATAGACTTCGGCTTCACCATCATAGATCTCGTTCAAAACAAAGGTTCTGATACGGCCAAAGATCTAAGAGAAATTGCCAAGGACATCGAGGATGCTTTCACAAAGTAACTGGAACTTAAATAATTGGAACAGTTCAAACTCACTCTAACAGTTAAATGAAACAGTTCCTAACGATTTTGAAACCTACTGATTTTCTGGATTACTTAAAAACGAACTAATTTCTTGCATGTACGAAACCGTGAAGTAGATTCAGCATGTTTGAATCGTTGTGTAGGACCGATCCGCGTAAACTTAAGGGAGCCTCCGTTAGTGCAATAATTCCAGATAGTTTTCACTTTAGAAGCAATTGTAATGTTTTAATCAGCGACCAAATATATTTTTCATTGTAAATACCCAAACATGACAGACAGATCCAATGGTGTGGTTTTTTCCGCTATAAGAGGACTTATGTGTCATAACTTTGGAGTAGCGTTTTCTTAGAGAGTGGTTTTACTGAAAATAATTATAGATCATTCCACTCATTATAAAAGACCGGAGAGTGCTCAGAACTGTAGCAGGAAAAAGAGGGCTAATGAATTGTAACTAAAAATAAATAAAAGTACTAAATGCTCACAAATGAGTGCCGTTTATTTATCCGGAAGTACACTCTCCCTTCCCCTCTCCCCCTCCATCCCAGGCTACGAAGGTGGGAAAAAAGGCTTTACGTGACACGTGTAGGCTACAAAATTATCCGCGGGTTGCGTGGCTAGCGCATTTTAAGCTCATTTCACACACACGAAACCTACCGGCTCCGTGAGCTTTTCATCTGAGTAAAGGTTTCATTTCATCTCCAATTTTTTTTTTTTTTTCATGATCATAATGTTTGGATCCATCTTGGTTGTTCAGGATCAGTGTAGGAACTTTCCACTAGCGACCGATTAAAAAAAAAAAAGACAAGCCACCTGCGCCATTAGGATAAACGAGTCTTGGAACCTCTGTTGATGAAAGTGCCGGATCCAACGCGTTAAGAAAAAGTTCCAGGTGTCTCACGGTTTCATTGTAACCATACCATTTACCTTTTAATTCCAAGCAAATTAAATAATGGTGAATACATGGTCACATTTGAACCGTCTTTGTTGCTAGGGTTTTATTTCTCTCGTCGATTATTTGATATGCCAAAACTGGTGATGCAACGATTTCAAATTTTTGCACGCCTGGCTGAGATAAACAACCCTCAAATTTAAATCGCTTTACTTAGTTACATTTCAGCTCATTTCACAGCACTTCATCGTTGAAGCTATCGTTTTCATGAGCCAACAATCTTGCGGACTCTCTCTCTCTTCGTGAATCATTCAGTAATCCTTATTAAAAGAAAACTTTTCAACTGAAATTCTAGTCCTGAACAAAAACATGTCGATATTTATTATGCCCTTTTGTAGCGAAAACCTTCTTCTTCCGCGTTAAGAAAAATTGAAGGATGACAGGGTAAGCCTGAGAATGTCGTGAACATCACGTGCTTTCACGTGACTCTGAGGGCTGATCGATTTGTAAAATTTCACTGAAAGACAGGTTTATCAGAGAAGCATCATACATCATGATTTGACTCGAGGAGCATTTTATCCCTCATTCCTAAAAAAAAAGCGGGTGTGAGACGTGGCAATGACAATTGCATCATGGGACTTTGGACATCCAGGTGCAAGGCGTCTTTGCTCGTCAAAACGCCAATTAACCCAGATCAGCCGTTTCTAATTCAAGACAACAACGAATTAAAGAACTAATATTTAAAAAGGAAAAAGACCCTGTTTCCCTTAAGGGGAATAATTGAATGGTACCAGTGCTAATTCCTTCGTTGACATTTTCGCTTAATTCTCCGAAAGAAAAGGGGAGCTTTTTATGGGAAACATTTTTATCTCATAAAACTTAAGATCGATAACCCGGAGATGCATATGTTCAAGAAATTTCCAAACAGTATTCGAGAACCGTGGAAAAATACGTCCCATCAATGATAAGGTGAATTCTTGGATCGATCAACACGAGTTCTTATTTCCGGGTAACAAATAGTTTCGCAAACAACATGTGCAAGAGGGACTTTGAATAATTAGAAAGACGAAAATGACCAAGTAAATTTTTCGAGACACAAGCTCTATTCAAAAAAGTTAAATAGGTTGTTGTTACAGGCGAAAACTTAAGAACTTCTTCAGTGTACGAAACCCACGCAGTAGTATTCACCATGCTTAGAAAAATAGCAATATAAAGAAAATGATACTGCAGGCTTTTTCCTTCCGAAACATTACGCAAAAATTCGAGACAGCGAGGGATCTTTGTAAATATTTAGGAAACTTACGCAAAATAATCGCGGCGCTGTTCAAGGGTGAATTTGTCGCAACGGTTCAAAATCAAATTTCATGCCCTCCAGGTTGAAATCAATCTAAATTTATTAAAATGGACTGAAGATTTTTACATTTTAATGAGAATTTTAACTTTTAAAAAGGCTTACTTGATTCATGGAAAGCAAAGATTGGAATGGCCTTGGGTATTTCAGCCCTGATTTCTTTCCTGGAATGCCGGTGTCCTAGCGGATATGGACCCCCCAACAAAACCGAGTGAAAACATCATCTTTGACGTTCTAGTAGAAATAGCTAATACTTTACGTTCCAGTGCGTACTTAACTATGTTTTTTATTCAAAACCTGCAACTGGCAGCAAGAAATGACCCGTTCGTTTGGAGAAAGATCATTTTTGAACCTTTTCCGCGATAGTCGAACACTGCAAGATTCAATAAGAGAAAAGCTTTTGACAGGACTCGGCAACTTGTTTTTTTCTTTAGCCAAAAAGCACGACAAGATGGTCGCATGATCCCACTCTTACAGAATCATGACTTACGCAGACAAAACACGATGTGGAAAGTCCTTGGCCCGGTTGTTCAAAACTGCGATTAGCGCTAATCCACGATTAAATAGGCTAATCGCCGATTAAATTTAAGTCGCCGATTAGTTTCTGTTGTTCAAAGCCCAATTATTCCTAACCTTCGATCAAACCAAGGGTTAAATCTAACCCTGCTCGCTAGGTGGATTAAATCCTTAATCGGCAGATTAAAAAATAAAAATCACAACATGGCTGACTTGTTGTATGGTTGTGTTGGTGTTGATGGGCGAAGAAAAAGGAAGCAAAGAGAGTTTAGGAGCATCGGTTTCACGATAGATGGATATACAGACGAAGAATTAAGAGCAAGGCAGACTTTTCGGGCGCCATTTGTTTTTTTTGTTTACATGGGAGTACATGTAAAAGAAAATAAGAAAGAAACAAAAGTCTAAAGTCCGTTAATTTTCACTTTGCTTTGTGTTTGTTAGCGAAGTATACATTTTATGCAAGGTATGGACATTGAGAGGTATTACAATAATGTTTCCATTTATAAACTTACCTGTTTCAAACCCCTGTAACCCAGTAAATGACGGTGTGTCACTGAACATGTTTATTATTTTTAAACTGGCTTCTGATGGGTTCGGGGGAGCAGGGCCACCACCTGTCTTCTTCTGTTCACTTTTAAAGGAACTGAATTCTCTTTTTGCGTGACTCTGGAGGTTTTTCCACTTGTCTCGTACTTCCTGCGTTGATCTTGCTGTCACACCGACGGCGTTTACCGCCTCCGAGATTTCTTCCCAATCTTGTTTTTTTTTGCATTTGTTATACTGTTGGTAAATTTACTTTGAAGAATGTCCATATTTTCTTCAAAATTTTCCGTTAAAACGGAAATTTCAGCGGGTGAAAAGTTTGCTTTCCGCACTTTCTTCGCTGGAGAAGCCATATTGACAAAAATAAATTTCCGGCAATTTTATGACGTAAACTGGCACAAAATAAATTATAATTAATTAATATAATTCATTTTATGCTTAATCGCGGATTAGTAAATCGACCGAGTAATCTCCCTTTGAACAACCGTTTTTTAACCAACGATTAACTAACCCACGATTAAGAAATTTAATCGCCGATTAGGCCTAATCGGTGATTAGTTTAATCGCGGTTTTGAACAACCGGGCCCTTGTCTTTAGTCCATTAACCACTGTTTTTTTCAGCCCGTTATAGCGACTAACGTAACGAATAGGTTAAATTTAAAATCTTACTGCAATAAGGGAAAAAGGAAACATTTGACAAAACTCTAAACGAATTGTGACCTTCCCACCTCAATTTCGCTGGGTATTACTGTCAAGTATTTGAAGAAATTCACAGATCAGTCCGATCTATATATGATCATGTGACCCTTTCACAAGGTAGCCAATCGTATCTCTTGTACTGTCTCTTGTATCAGATGGATACTATGGGCGGCTGTCACCACCGAAAATACAAGGACGTCAAATAGATCAGCAAATACAAAGCTGGTCTAGGGATCAGCAGCAGGATAGCATAGCTAATATAGGAACTGGCATGGCCAAACTGTAGGCGGTTTAGTTTTCCTTCATGAAACAGAACACCCTAAACATGAATAGTTTAGGCAAATGATACACGGTCTAGTTGCCTATGTCGAGTTGGAACATGAAATTGTGAAATGGACTAGCTCAACTGCGAATTTACTCATTTGCAATACAGTACACAAACAGTATAGCGTTGGGTCAAATGGCTCAGCGTAATGTCAAATGGTACAATGTACACACATACGGTGAAGCGTTGTGTGAAATGGTTTAGCACAATGTCGAACAGCACAGTTTGCACACGGCGGTTAGCTTGAATGTTTATAGTATTAAGTAGTATTATGACGAGCATTAAATGTCGATTGTCGAGCTCTCATCACTTTCCTGACTCGCGCTTACTTTTCAATAAGAGTTTAACTTCAAAGGCTCTTTGAACATAAAAATAAGCGCGAGTCAGAAAAGAGGAGAGAGCTCATTTGATTAAAGAAAAAATTCTTGAGTCTCCTTTGAGAATTTAATGAAGGATTCCTTTGAATTAATACAGAGGCGTTATCACAAAAGACCTCAGAATTAACTTACTTTAGAATATGTAAGTATTTTATTACGCTCCTTTTTACTGCATACATTAAATTGAAACATCCTTTTCTTATCTCTCTGAAAATCGAAAGAGGCCACATCAAAAAGAAAACTTGCAATATACCGTTAATGCAGTCCTAAGAGGTAACGTCCTCATCAAAAATGGCCAAATGCAACTAACTGCATGGTGAAAAATGTTCACCTCAACGCAGATCAATGTTATGTTTATCATTGAAAATCGTTTCGAACTCTTCCCTTTGGCTGAGTTTTACTCCTTCATGGCATTCTCGAGTTTGTCTGCCTTTTGTCTCAGAACTTTTGCAGCTTCAGATCCCTTGTTTTCAACGAGATCCCTGATAGTGAAGCCAAGGTCTATGGCATCCCACACCACGAATGCAACATTGACCACAATGATGACTTTACCCACAACTTCACCGACTGCCTCGGAGCCCGCCCTAGCCCCTGCTTGGACCACGTCATCTGCAGCTTGTGCTCCAGCCTGACCCGTTGCTCGTACCACATCGTCAACAGATTGTGCAGCTGCCTTTCCCGCTCCTTGAACACCACCCTGGGTTGCAGCTTTCACACTGGCCTGACTCGCTG